ATAAATTCTTTCTCTACAGAATCAGCTTCTCGAGAGATGAACCAAAGTCCAATAGTACTCAGGAACAGAAATACTTATAAAAGTTATACAGAGTTGAATAATATGTCAATGAATATTAAAACCCTCAATGGAAAGAAAATTCCACGTCTAAGTGCTGCTGTGGCTGCAAGCAAAATAAAACTTATTAGTAATGCAAAGGAAGAATTCTCAAGCTCAGAAGTTGGATACCATAGAAAAAAGAACAGAATACTTCCACTCCGCAGTGCCTCTATTGCAGCTAGAAAAATACTGGATGATTTACCCTCACTCTCAGATAGTGGAACAGAACTGAAAGAATGTAAAGTAAAGGGGAAAAATAATCAGACTTGTTCTTACTCAACTAGGCAATCTAGTAAAGAGCTAAAAGCAAGATATTTAGATGCTGAAGAAGAAAATGTGTTAAAACAGAGGAGCAGTCATAGCAATGACTCAAGACAAGATTCTATCAAACCTGTATGTAAAAAAATTAAAGTAATACATTCTGATGAAGAATCTTCCAGCAGCATTACATCTGAGGAACAAAAAAGTTCAAGTCAAGATAATGTAACAAGTGACTCTGCTGCAGACTTTGAACTGGAAAAGAAATATAATTTTACAAAAGTGAGGAACACCAGGCGCAATGGAGAAAGAGAGAAAATGGGACAAAGTAGTGCTTTGTCAAAGAGTAGACAAGTAGGCATTCCAGAGAGCTCAAAATCTGAACCTGATAGAAGTTCCCATTTTTCTTCTGACTCAGAAACTCAAACAGAATCCAAACCCAGTAATAATAATAGAGGAGTTAAAACAACTAAGAGTAAGAGGAAAGCCACTCCAGCAAATAAAAATGGCTTTTCTGAATCTTCCAGAATACCTCAGAGAAGGAAGCGGCCAAGAGTGAATGAAGAGAAGGATTCTGACGAATTGCATTACACAAGATACAAAAGAATAAATCGACGCTCCAAAATCAGAACTAGAAATAGGGGCAGGCAAACTGTAAGGTATGCAGATGATGAAGAGGATTGTGAAACATGAAGATCTAGCCCACTTTGCTTTTATTAGTGATACTAGACTTATGTTGGAACTTCTCTTCCTCTAATTCAGGGAATATATTTATATTTTTCTATGAAAAAGTTAAATGTGGAAGCTCTGTTTTGATAATATGACTTGCACTTGCCTATCTGTGCACATATGCCAAAATGTGCCTCATTATGAAGGCAGAACTGTTGTCTTTAATAATATTTTGTTCGTTAATGTAGTAAGTGACAAGAGGGGATAAACATTAGATAACAGCTTTAATGCTGTTTAATTAAATAGCATGGTGCTGCAGATTGAGACTACCTATGTCATACTATATTAGTGTGTTCAGAACCAGATGAATTGACTACCGCGATGTTTAATATTTAATTGATCAGTAATGAATAGAATTAACTAGTATATATTGTAAACAAATCTTAAATAGTTATTAATTTTAAAGAACAAAAATGTGAAAAATGGCTACCAAATATTATAGCAACTTGTAAAAATGAGCAGTGCTATTGATTTGAGGAAAAACAACTTGAACTGATAATAAAAATGCTTATTGGTTTTATAAATATGTGGATTAAAATTTGTTGTCATATCCCTTTTAATATATGGCACCCATGCTGTAAATTTAAGATCATTAGGATACAGGTGTTTACTTTTTTTTGTGAAAATTTGTGTTTTGTGCTTTTTCTTTAAAATGATTAAAGCTTCTGTTCTGTAGAATACTAATATTTAAGGTGTTATTGATAAAGTTTAATATTTACTAAAGTTCTTCAAATTTAATTATTTATAATTCAGACTGTTAGTGCAATTGAACCACTCCACCGCTTGATTTAACTAAATAAAGCACCTTCATGTTGGTGGTGTTTTAAGGTGACATTATTGAAATAATAAAATAATTACAGTTCTTGTAGCATATGAAAAATGGGAAGTACATGATGCTATGTAAACGTACACATGATGTCAGTGACTTCCTTTACAAAAGTTCTATTGCCGGATTTCTTTCTGTAGAAGAGCATGGTCTTTTAAACCACCTGTTTCTGGGGATGTTCTGTTGTTAGATATGTTCATTTATAGAACACCAGTTTTATTTTTCTCTTAGACCTCCTGAAATTTTATTTTGAGAACTATTTATTCAGGGTTATATACGTGATAATTTTATGAAACAAAACCCTGAATGTTGGTTTTGTCTTCCACTTTTTTGATTTCTCAAAATAAAATTATCCAGATAAGATGGTTGTCTACAAATTCTAATATTCAGAATTCTTTATTTTTGTATGTTAAGTTTAAAACGTGCTTTAGAAAAAAATTGCACATTTCTGAATTTAAAGTGAAGATGAATGTAGTAAATTTGTTTATTTAGGACCTTTTGAAATTGTATTTTTATTTCTGAAGTAACAAATGATAACGAGAAATCCCAAAGTTCAGTAATTTATCTGAAGTGCACTGCTCATAAAATGCACTTTTATTTGCAATTTTGGAATAATCTTGAATTTTAACTGCTTGTGTTCTATATATACTATAGAAAACTAATACAACATTAAATAGTTTCACCCAAAAACATTTAAGGTATTAGAATGGATACTGAATTTGCCCAATGACATACAATAAATGGAATGTTCTCAAATGACATCATTATTGTAGTAATGGCTGCAAATTACCTTGAAAAATCAAAGGCGTAGGAGATCTTTTGTTTCAACTGCTGTTTGTGGACATTAGAAGACAAATCCATGTTGTGGTAACTTTAGTGAAATACTAGATTTGGTTGAATAGTTTCTTTCCACACCTGATATATTACCGCTGTGGGCAATTAAGGAACAAAAGGATTATTGCTTTTCATGTTCATATATTTTTTTAAAAATAGTATCCATAGTTTATCTAACCAATACTCCAAAAAAAAAAAACAAAAAACCCCACCCAACCTTTGGAAGAAGGTAATTATTTAAACCTTAGATTAAAAGAGTGAGCTTCCATTGGGAATTTTTGAGTTGCAGCTTAGTATACCTGGAAAGCAAGATTGCAGATAGCTATTTTGTAGAAAATAACATACAACAGTTACTTGTTTTACCATTTTCTCCCCCCGCCTCCCCCATGTAGTGTAATTTAGACAAAAAAAAAATTGGGGAAAGAGAAGGGAAATGGCAGCTGGTTATGTGTGTGTTGGGGTAAAAGCTTGGTGCTGCAACTATCTGTGTTTGCAGTGGATAGGGGGGATCACCTAGTATCCTCCTTAAATTGAGAGGGAGGGCCCAGACAACTTGAATTGTGCCCTTGCTGATTAGAATGTCAAAAATTTATAATTTAGTGCTCTGGCTGTATAATATAAGGGCATGTGGTGCAGAGCCTTCCCTCGAAAAATCAAACTTGGGTATTAAAGTACGAACGTTTAATTATAGGGGAATATAAAGTACAGAGTTTCCCAAATCATGGCAATTTTAAATTCAAAAAGAAAATCTATTGTTCTGGTCTCATCACAAGATGGTGTGCATCTGCTATAAATGAAATAAATTTTCTCTTAAGAATTGCCAGATATTAAGAGCGAATGAATTCAGAATATTATTAATCATAAGTAGATACCAAAGGGAAAAATGCATTTGAACTCAACCTGAAATACAAATATAATGCTTGTGGAGTTAGACATCCAAGTTCATAAGTTATGCAGAAAAATAAGACAGGAGATGTGTAACACAGCAAAAATCAAAATTCCTAACACAGAATATTGGCTGAATTGATTGCCAATGTCTACAGTAATAGAATTCCCAAAGGAAACATTTTTCTACTTCATTTAATTGAATTTCCTCCAGATTCTAAAACATCTCAAATTTGATCAAAGGCTGTGGGGTATGAGGGTAGTCCTGCACTTTTCTCAATTGCACAACTTGCATTTACCTCCCTACCTAATTTGTACACAGCTTGACTCAGCAATTCTGCAGTTCACAAATCAAAAACATAGAAAAATAATAGTAAAACAAAAGGAACAAAATAAAGGTAAAAGGAACAAAAGATGTCAGTGCTGGGCAACAACAACATACTCCTCAGAAAGGGCTTCAGTTATTCCAGTCAAAAGCCTGTATAAAGAGCCAGGACTTCAACTGAGTTTGTCCAAATTCTGTTCTTATGTTCCAAAGGGCTGGCCGTTTTCTATTTCCATCAGAGGCAAGACTGAGATACATGGCTAGATCAGTGGTTCTCAACCTGTGGGTCGGGACCCCATTTGGGGTCGATCGACCATTTCATGGGGGTCGCCAAGCAAGGCTGTCCGCCATTTTTTTTGTCCATTTTTTTCCCCCTTTTCCGGCGGGTGCCTTACCTCCCTTGGGCTGGGCCAGCTGGTGGTCGGCCTGCTCCGTCTCTGCCGCTTGCCAGCTACGCCTCGGCCGGCGCAGGGGGCGGAACCACACATGGGTGGTGCTCCCGGGCAGGGAAAGTCCTCGACTTACGACCGGTATGGTAGTCCTCGACTTACGACCGGTTTAGTCCTCGACTTACGACCAGTTTAGTCCTCGACTTACGACCGGTTTAGTCCTTGACTTACGACCGGTTGGGGTCGCGGCATTAAAAAGGTTGAGAACCACTGGGCTAGATGTATGTATTGTGATTGGACTGTAGTCTCTAAACTATAGAAAAAAACAACTTTGAAAAAGGCACTAGGGAATGAAAACAGTATTTGGACTACGCTGTCTTCTGGAAGTACCTCAAAGGTATACAATCATGCTAAAGTAATGCTACATGCTAATACACAGAACGTGGAAATAACACATACATTAATTGGTCCTGTTCCAGGTTTGATCTGATAGGTAACTGCATTTGTGCACAAACATCTAGTAGTAGCTAGCCCCAAGAACAATTGCATTTTTTCTTTATAGGCTTCCAATATGATACAATCCAATGGCCCATACAGACTACCTGATAAGGCCAGTTTTGCATTTCTTGGCTTTATAATAAATCTGTGTCTTTGTAAATTGCTGTATAGCCCATTTATCAAGCTTTGGAAGACTTCAGAAATACTCAAGCAATCCACTGTGCATAATAAACATCTTGTTCTGCCATTGCACATATGCAATTAGTCTTTACTTACTTCCAGTGTGGAAATGTTATTGACTTGCTTTAGCTGCTCCAGCATGCAAACATGGGAAACTGTTTTCTTAATCCTCTTTAATACACACAAATGGATTTCACCCTCTACTAGCATCCCCTTTTACACATAAAATCCATTTAATGTAGATGTCCAATGAGTGGAAGTCAGCTATCATTTTTTAAAAATGGAGACAATATAGCAAATTTATCACCTAATCAACTTATTAAATATAATAGTAAATTATGCCAGCCATCACTGTGTGAAACTAATGGATTGGATTAATAGAGAAAATTACAATGTAGAACAAGATGGCCTTTCTGATTGAGGCACCATTCTAACATTTCCAAAAAAATCACCCGGCAGAATTCCCTGTATTGCTTTTATTTATTTGGAAGCCCCTTCCGATACAATCCCCTGTGACCTGCTATAGCTGTCATCTTTCATCATCTCTATCAATGGGTATTTATGAAGACTAATTTTCATATTTTTTATTATTTTATTTATTAAATTTATTTGCTGCCCATCTCATTGAAAACAATTCTAGCTGGGTTACAGCATTTAAACATTAAAATACTAAATATATATATAAAACAAAGCTTATTGTAATTTTATACTATTTTATTGTAAATAGTAATTATACTATTAAATTAGAGCATCTCCATGTAAGTCAATTATTTGTTCAAGATGGAATTGGGGACCAGAATAGGTGGATAGCCCAAGTACTCAACCACCAGATGGTTGGTTTATCTTCAATGCCTGAATCTTCTTGATTTCTTGACACAGGGGTCCTCAACCGTGGCAACTTTAAGACTTGTGGACTTCAACTCCTAGAATTCTGGTAGTTGAAGTCCACAAGTCTTAAAGTTGCCAAGGTTGAGGACCCCTGTCTTAACAAATACTGTAACCCTTTTTGATATACAGTACTGGCTTATTCTTCTTTATGTCTATAGTGTGAGTGGCCTGGTTAGAAATTCCTGCCGCTACTGTAAATTATTCCTGATCTAGCATAATTGCCTAGCACCCATTGTCATGGTAGGAGCCTATAGAACATTTCCCACATACATAATAGCAACTCTCATGCTCTCTAGCACGTCGCCTGTGATTTTAAACACTGCTGACTCTAAAGCAATAGGCTTGAGACTGGTCACCTGGTACAAACCAAGTTTGAACTGAGATCCTGGAAACTCTGACACTTCAGTTGGTCTGCCATCTTTCTAATCTGCAGAACCTTTCCAGGCTGCTTGGGTCTTGAAGTTCTCCAGTCTGAGGATTTGATTCCTCAGCTTGCATGCAGATTACACCAGTTTGGTATCTTTTTCAACTTTGGTCTCAGATTTTGCTGGGCAAGGGACTGTCCCAGGATATTCTTATTCCTATTTCGCAAAGCTCAAGATACTTCTTCCAAAAGACTTTTCTCTCCCTCCCAATCAGCTCCAGTGGCCCTCTGACATCACTCCCATGTACAAGTTTGAAAACAAAAAATCCATATTGAGTAGCACAACCTTATATTGTTGGTACATTATTTAATAATTGTTCTGAACATGACATCCATGTTCCACTGATGTCTTCATTGAGCTATTAATTTCATGATGGTAGGGGCTTATCTGACTTGTTCTGTACCATGAGCAGCCTCTTTTCCATCACCCTGACAAGAAAATAGGTACTGCATTTGTCAGGATAGTCAGCAGCCACCTTTTCTTGCTCAAAAGTTAAGGTCTGATTTATTCTTAGTATCAGTTTAAGTTAGAGGTACTGTCTCAGGCCATATCATGGCATTGTTCACAAGGATGAATATACTGACTCACCCTACTCAGTATCTTGGGTTGGATTACGTAGATAGGCCCAGGAGGTATATGGTCCCAAATGGTATTTCCAGGGCTGGAATGGTTCCTTCACTTAGTCCTTGCAATTCCCTACTTTTTGGCAATTACCACTGGATTTTGCATATTTAGTCCCATTGCAGTAAAAATTTTACCTTTTCTTTGATTCAATTCACACCCCAATTCACAGCCTTGTGTTCATTGGAGTATTAAGTATTAAATATATCTATAAGACTTATTGGGCTTATGTACCTCTGCAGCCTTCCTTATAGGAGATAATCCTGACACAATAGTCCTTACTTTGAGAAACCTGAAAGCCTTGCAGTAGGAGTAGTTGTAGTGCTTTACCTCTTCTCAGATACAGGCTTTGGACTATCTTCTCTCTTCAATGCCTCTGCCTTGCATTGAGAACTGCTCCTGGGAATTCTGTAGATCCATTTCCTTCAAGAGAATCTACTACTGTGTTGTCTAGCTGTCTAATGAAAATCCATTTTTTTAAGGAATTAAAAGGTAAAATGAAATAGTAGTTATATATATGAACTGTGGAATGAAAAACTGGAATGAGTAATTTTGGAGAAACAATGGGTTCAAGAGTTAAGAAATGTAAAATGTATTTCTTACAATTAAAAAAAAAATTCTAGGAGTGCTGAAACCCACAAGCACTTGTTTTTTCTAGGCTTGAACTGAAGACTTTTCTTCCCCATCCAAAAATTGTATTTTGAAGCTCGCTGT